CCAAGCGACGAGTGCCCAGGCAGAAATTCTCGATGGTCTGGTAGAGCTCTGGCGGTTTGCTCACCATGTCTGGCAGCATGTGAGGGTCTTCCCGCTGTTCTGGACCTGGCCATAGAATAACGTCGGTGTCGATGTTGCAATGCACAAAGCGAGCATCGGTGGACCTGCGCACCGTGCCCCGGATGCCCATGAGGCAGTGTTGGCTGGACCGCGTAAAGGCGGAAGTGCTTGAAGGCTGCTGCATGTCGAGCTCTCCTCGGTCAGTCTGCGCGTTGGTGCGAATGCAAACGATATCTTCGCAGCGTCTGTAGCCCCATTTGGCCAGCACCTCTCTTCCGCGTTCCAGTCCGTCTCCTGCACCCGAGCCGACCCAGAGGAACACAAAGCTCTCCTTTGCTGCAAGCTGCGGAACGGGCAAAGTAGCGATCTCTTCCCACGACCAGGTTGCGCTGGCAGTGCCTGCCGATGCAGAAGTAGAGGCGGCTGGCGAGGCCTCCCATTCGTAAGCCTCGAGCGGAGGATCGATGAGAACGACGTCGTACTTGACGGGGATGAGACTGCCCAGATGGAACTGATCCGAAGAGCGGGATGGATCGCGGAACGATCCAAGCGAGGGTCTCAGATCAGCTTGGAGATATGTTGGAGGGTGAGCTACGCGGGTGACGAGCGCATCCTTGAGCTGAACAAGACGCTGGAGTTTGGGATACTCTTGGAAGCGAGAGCTTGGCGAAGGGTTGCGAACCGCATTGCCCGGAAGCTGACCTGCGCCAGTATCGACGAAATGCTGCGAGTAGTCGTTGCGCAGTGTGTGTTCTTCCGAGCTGTAGTTGGGACCCAGAGCTGAGGGGCTGGAAGATGCTTTGGACTTGCCCTTGGTATCGTGGGAAGCAGGCGTTTGCTTAGCGATCTGATTGGAAGGAGCGCCATCGTTGCTCGGGGTGGAAAGACCGAATCGTCGCTTGAGCTGATCGAAACGCTGACGATGCTGCTGCTGTTGCTTGGCCGTCGGCGTCTTGGCTTGGTCAGGGACATCGACGAGTGTGCGCCAGCGAGGATGGTCGCGAGCCTTGTTGAATCGCACCTCGACCGCCATTTTGGATGAAAGACCTCGCTGTCAACCAGGTCAGCTAAGGCGCATAGTAAGTTTGAAAGCTGATCCGATCGTCGTTGCTCAGCCTACGAGTAGGCCATGCGATGGGATCAGAGAGAAGGGCAAGCGAGCGAGCGAGAACTGCAACAGCAATCTTCTCAAGAACCCTTTGAATCGATTCCACACGCAGACGCACACACACACTGACACGCAGCTGAGCTTCATTTTCGGTTGTGCGTCAATTGGATTTCAAGGGTCTCGAATGTGTGTGTGAGGCGTTGCCTCGTTGTCGCTTTTCTCTGCCTTTTTCCAACAAGCCTTGTTCACTGTGACCGAGCAATCCGAGCCATCGGGTGACACTGAGTTCCATTCGGATTCGCCTGCTGCGAAGTCGGAACGAGTCCGAGATGACATGAAAAGGGGTGTGTGTCACTTTCGAGACTGCCGCTGCTGTGGTGGCTGCTTCGGACTCGCAACCGAGCGGTCCTACAGAAGCAGATGCACGCTGCAGCTCTCACGGCCACTCAGACACGCGCCGCACACGCCGGGTCTCAATTTCCAATTGCGCGCCCACCAAGTCAGACCGACACAAGAAAAAACGCCAGCGTGTTGCCTTGGCTGCCCCGCGCTCGTTGCCTCTGCGCCTGGCCGCCTGCCTGCCTGCCTGCCTGCCTGCCTGCCTGCCTGCCTGCCTGCCTGCAATTTGGCACTTTGCTTTGAACTTATCGCTCTCAGGCTGGTGGTGTTGTGCCGCGTCTTCATCTTCGGTCCCTTTCATCCTCCTAAACGAGTTTCCTATTTGTCTTCACCACCACCGTCAGTCGCTCATCTCGTCGGCGCTCACGGCTCCTCAGAGCAGTTGATCTCCTAGATCCCTCGTCCATCGCTCCGTCGTAACGCCATCGTGTCGCGTCAAGATTGGCTTGCCGCTTGCTTCAACAACCATAGCGAGCGACCGCCGCAATCATGTCCGGCTTCCGCAGCGCGCCCAATGGCGCACCAGGCGGGGGACAGCAAGCGGGCTCGTTCGGCTCCTTGACGCCATCACGTCCTGCACCGCCTGTTCCCACCAGCAAGCACAATGACCCCTTCCTGCCTCCGCTCTCCCAGTACAACTCGGCTTCCAGCGGCATGGGCGCCGGCGGTGGCTCCTACACTGGCCCTCTTCGCCCTGCTGGGCCTGGCGCTACCGCTTCCGGTGCCCCCGCAAACCACTTGGCCGGCAACAACTCGGGCTGGCAGCAAGCCGGTCCTGGTGCCACCACCAGCGGCGCCGCCGTCGTGAGGAAAGGCTGGGTCAGCGTCAAGGAGGACGGCATTCGCTCTTGGATCTGGAGCAAGCGTTGGCTTGCCCTCCGCGAGCAGACGCTCACCTTCCACAAGAACGAGACCACCTACCAAGCCGTCGCACTCGTCTTCCTCAAGGACATCTCCAACGTCTCGCGCACCGACCTCAAGCCCTACTGCATCGAGGTCGAGACCAAGGAAAAGACCTTCTACCTCCAGCTCAAGAGCGACGAAGAGCTCTACGGCTGGATGGACGACATCTACTCCCGCTCGCCCCTCATGGGCGTCTCCTCGCCCACCAACTTTGTCCACCAGGTCCACGTCGGCTTCGACCCCATCAGCGGCGCCTTCACCGGCCTACCCGAGCAATGGTCCAAGCTGCTCACCACCTCGGCCATCACGCGCGAAGATTACGAAAAGAATCCGCAGGCCGTGCTCGACGTGCTCGAGTTCTACACCGACATCCAGAAGCGCGAGCGCGACGACTTTGGCCTCGGCACGCCGACCATGAACCTTCAGCCCGGACGCAACCCCAACGAGATGGCCAGTGCTTCGTCGGCGCCTCGCTTCAAGGCTGGCACCGGCTTTGCTGGAAGCTCTGGTGCCGATTCGGCGTCGAGTTTGAGCAAGGAGGCCCCTCAATACGACGCGGCCAAGCCTCCGTCGGACGCCTTCCGCAGCACGCCTGCCTCGGCATCGTCGTCCGGCGCGTCTTCGTTGAGACCCTCGCCGGCTTCCATGGTAAGGCGTCCCTCGGATGACGGTCGAGGCCAGGGCGCGTCCAGCCCGGCCTCGTCCCAGGCCTCGTCCTCGCGCCTCGGCGGCTCTGCGTCCAACGACAGCAAGTACGGCCGCTCCACTCCAACCTCCCACGCGCACCCAGATCTGGTGCCTTTACGCAAGGCGCCCGCCGCTCCCGGTGCTGTCAAGGCTCCTACGCCTGCATCGTCGCTGGCGTCCACCCGACCCGCACCGCCACCTCCCAACTCGTCGCTGCCCTCTAGCAGGATGGCCAACGATGGCGGTGTGCAGGGCCTCAACGTCAAGACCAAGGAGCTCAAGCTGGGAAGCGATTCTGCCGGCATCTCGCCCTCGTCGTCGAGCGCTGCTGCCAAGGCTGCCGCCGTCGCCAAGCAGCCTTCGCCCGTAGCGGCGCCCAGCGCATCGTCCGCCGCGGCTGCGGCTGCGCAGGTCAAGCCTCTGCAGATGGCCAAGAAGGATGCGGGCGTCAAGACGGCGCAGCAGAAGGAAGCCGAGCGCCGCATCAGCACCATGTCCGAGGCGCAGATCATGGAGAAGCTGCGCTCGGTGGTGAGCCAGGACGACCCCAACATGCTGTACAGCAAGATCAAGAAGGTGGGCCAGGGTGCTTCCGGATCCGTATTTGTGGCCAAGACGCTCGCTACGGGCCAGCGTGTAGCCATCAAGACGATGGACCTGTCGCAGCAGCCGCGCAAGGAGCTCATCGTCAACGAGATCCTGGTCATGAAGGAGTCGCAGCATCCCAACATTGTCAACTTCCTCAACTCGTTCCTGGTGCGCAACAACGAGCTGTGGGTCATCATGGAGTACATGGAGGGCGGCGCGCTCACGGACGTGATCGACAACAACACGCTCGAGGAGGACCAGATCGCCGCCATCTGCCTCGAGACGTGCAAGGGCCTCGAGCACCTGCACAGCCAGAGCATCATCCACCGCGACATCAAGTCGGACAACGTGCTGCTCAACGCCAGCGGACAGGTCAAGATCACCGATTTCGGCTTCTGCGCCAAGCTGACGGACCAAAAGTCGAAGCGCGCCACCATGGTGGGCACGCCGTACTGGATGGCGCCCGAGGTGGTCAAGCAGAAGGAGTACGGCGCCAAGGTCGACATCTGGAGTCTGGGCATCATGGCCATCGAGATGATCGAAAACGAGCCGCCGTACCTGGACGAGGAGCCGCTCAAGGCGCTCTACCTGATCGCCACCAACGGCACGCCGACGCTCAAGAAGCCCGAGACGCTGTCCAAGAACCTCAAGAGCTTCCTGGCCGTGTGTCTGTGCGCCGACGTCAAGAGCCGTGCTTCGGCCGACGAGCTGCTCCACCATCCGTTCCTGCAGTCGGCGTGTCCGCTGTCGAGCCTCGCGCCGTTGCTCCGATTCCGCAACAAGCCCGACCGTTGAGTGGTCATTGCAGCCGCCGCGTCTCTTCTTTTTCTTCATCATCTTTTTTTCTTGCTCCCTGTCACGTCCTGTCTCGTTGACCTTGTATGCACGACACGACCATTATTTATTACGAGATTGCTTTCATCTTTGCTGCCGATTGTGTCCGTGCTGGCTGGCTGGCTGGCTGTGCGGCTCCTCTCCCGCTTTGCAAGTAGCCTGACAAGCAGATGGCCGCAGGGCGAACGAGCGTGCGGCTGCTGTGCTTCGGGTGTCCAGAGCAAAATGCTGAGGAGGAGGTCCGAGCTCCAATTTTTTCCCCTCCGTCGCTGCTTGGCCGTCGTCGTTGGTTGCCGACACCATCGTATCTTCCCCACCTTCCGTCCGTTTTGCACTTCCCTCTGCACCGTTTCGCTCCCCACCTGGTCCGCGTCTTGTTCCCATTGCAACGGCAAAAAAGGGGGCCAAAAACCTTGAAGATTGCCCTTGACGAGAGTCGAACTCGTGATCTTAGGATTTCTAAGCACAGATATGCTTGTAGGTTGAATCCTGTCTAACAGGATCGTTGGTATGAGACCTACGCCCTAACCAACTAGGCCACAAAGGCAATTCTTGGCGGCAGTGGACGACGGCATTGCATACATTACTGATTTGCAGCTGCGATCGACAAGCAGTTGAGAGTTGGTTGGGACGCGTCTTTTCGTCGAGCCGTGCACGCGCGTAGATTGCAGCGCACAAGCTGATTTCGATGATGGAACGTTTCACCGAAAAAAGTGTGCTTCTCGCTCGGGTTGAGTTCCGATGTTCGGTGCAACTGAGCTGGGCTGAGCTGAGCTGAGCTGAGCCATTGCCTCCTTTGTTTCCTCATCCATAGACGACACACTTGTCAAGCGCGCGCACCCTGCTTGACGACACCTGCTGCCCAGCATGGCGATGCCTCGAGTCTTCCTAGCGCGCCACGGCGAGACCGAATGGTCCATCTCGGGCCAGCACACGGGACGCTCCGACATCTCGCTCACCCCGCACGGCGAGGAGGTGATGCGTCAGCTCGCTCCCAGCATCGTCGGCGTCGCCAACGGCAAGCTCATCGACCCGACCAAGCTCAACCACATCTTTGTCAGTCCGCGCAAGCGGTCGCAGCGCACGCTCCAGATCATGCTCGAGCACGTGCCCGCCTCGCAGCGCGCCGGTATTCCGCCCGTCGAGGTCGTCCAGGACTGCCGCGAGTGGGACTACGGTGCGTACGAGGGCCTCAAGACCGACGAGATCCGCGCCAAGCACCCTGGCTGGGACATCTGGACCGAGGGCACACCGCACCACCCGGACAAGCCCGACCAGCTGCCCGGCGAGTCGGCGCAGCACATGAGCGACCGCGTCGACTCGGTCATCGCCATGATCCGCGAGCTGCAGTCCGGACACGTCGACAAGCGCAACCAGGGCCACGACGTCGGCGGCAAGACGTGCGACGTGCTGCTCGTCTGCCACGGCCACTTCAACCGCGTCTTTGTCGCCAGGTGGCTCGGCTTGCCGCTCACCAACGGCCGTCTGTTCGAGATGGATGCAGGCGGCATGGTCGTCCTGGGCTACGCGCATCACAACTTTGCCGAGCCTACCGTAGCGGGCATCTTCTCCTCCAAAACAGGGCCCAAGGGCGACAAGGAGGGCCAATCAGGATCGTGCGGGTCGGCCAAGCACGAGGAGTCGCAGTACCTCGAGCTGGTGCAGCGCGTCATCGCCACAGGCGAGTCGAGACCCGACCGCACAGGCACGGGCACACTGGCGCTGTTCGCACCGCAACCCAGCCTACGCTTCGACCTGACCAACGGCACGCTGCCGCTGCTCACCACCAAGCGCGTCTTCTTCCGCGGCGTGCTCGAGGAGCTCCTCTGGTTCGTCGCCGGCAAGACCGACTCGAAGCTGCTCACGAACAAGGGCGTGCACATCTGGGACGGCAACGGATCGCGCGAGTTCCTCGACTCACGCGGCCTCTCGCACCGCAGAGAAGGCGACCTCGGCCCCGTCTACGGCTTTCAATGGCGCCACTTTGGCGCAGAGTACACGGACTGCGATAGCGACTACACGGGCCAAGGCGTCGACCAGCTCGCCCAGGTGATCGACAAGATCAAGAACAACCCCACGGACCGCCGCATCCTGCTGAGCGCGTGGAACCCCAAGGACCTCGAGCTCATGGCGCTGCCGCCGTGCCACATGTTTGCGCAGTTCTTCGTCTCGAACCTCGACGCGCACGCGCGCGGCGAGGGCAGGAAGCACCTCTCGTGCCAGATGTACCAGCGCTCGTGCGATTTGGGCTTGGGCGTGCCGTTCAACATCGCCAGCTACGCGCTCCTCACCTACATGATTGCCAAGGTGACCGACTGCGAGCCCAAAGAGCTCGTGCTCGCCATGGGCGACGCGCACGTCTACAAGGACCACGTCGAGCCGCTCAAGCTGCAGCTCGAGCGCGATCCCCTGCCCTTCCCCAAGCTCACCATCAAGCGCGACATTACCGACATCGACGACTTCAAGTACGACGACTTCGAGGTCGTCGGCTACAAGTGCCACTCGAAGATCGACATGAAGATGAGCGTCTGAGCGCGAACACATCTCGCCCCGCACAGCCGCATGCAATGCAGAAATGTTTCAAAGGGCTCGTGATTGCCACTCGATCTGAATAAAAAGATGATGCAACAAATACAAGGGCGACCGAGCCCCTTTTTTGGATTGAATGTGGATGATGATGATGGACAAAAGGGCGGGTGTCAAAGACTCGATCCTCGCGGATCTGTCTTTTCGTAAGAAACGACCCAGCTGTTCTCCGCCAGAGGGACGGGGAGTTGGTCCTCTTCTCGCAGAAACAGCGTACAACGTGCTTTTTTAGAACAGCCTCGCAGCGAGGCCGCATCCCAACCGTGAAACAGGTCGGGACCATTTACAAAACGGTGAAGACACGGACAATGTTGTCCGAGTAGCCAGCGAAGAGCGTCTGGCCGTCGGCGGACCAGGCGAGCGAGAGGCACTCGGGGTCGGCCGAGTTCTTGCCGACGCCGGTGAACTCGGGCTTGAGCTCGTCGACGATGCTCTTGGACTCGAGATCGAAGATCTTGATGCACGAGGCGGTGGCGGCGCACAGCCAGTAGCGGTTGGGCGAGAAGACGAGCGCGTTGACAGTGTCACCAGCCTCGAGCGAGTAGAGGTGCTTGCCGTCCGAGAGCTCCCAGAGCATGGTGATGCCGTCCTTGCCACCCGAGGCGCAGAGCGAGCCATCGGGCGAGACAGTGACCGTGTTGATGTAGCCGGTGTGGCCGTAGTGGTTGGTCTTCAACTTGCACTTGCTAAGCTCCCAGACCTGCGAGTTGGCGATGATCGAAGGGGTGGAGATGAAAAGGTCAGTGGCTGTGCCTTTTTTTTTTTTTGGAAGAATGCCATGCAGATCAGAGTGGCTTTCCATCTGCGAAACGCCTTCCGTCCATCCTCCTTCCGTCGTGCCTTGCACCTCCTAGACAGCGGATGAATGCTCAGTGATCTTGGTGACTTTGAGATATTCTCATCGAGCTATGCTCTCTATAGTAGCAAATATTTGAAAAAGCACTCTTCATCGCAATCCGCCGCCGTGCTCCGCCTTCCTTGGCTGCTGCCAGCTTTGCGTAAATCCACCTCTTCCGCCATCCTCTCTGATCTGCATATGCCGGCTTGTGCGCAAAACTTACCTTGACAACCTTGTCCCAACCAGCAGAGACAATGACGGGGTTCTGGGGGTTGGGGCTGAAGCGGACGCAGCTGACCCACTCGGAGTGGCCGTCGTCGGTGATGTTGAACTTGCACTCGCCGAGGGTGTTCCAGAGCTTGATGGTGCGGTCGCGCGAGCCCGAGACGATCTGGCGGTTGTCGGCGGAGAAGGAGACCGAGAGCACGTCGGCGGTGTGGCCGACAAAGCGGCGGGTGGTGGTGCCCGTGTTGAGGTCCCACAGACGCAGGGTCTTGTCCCACGAGGCCGAGAGGGCGAACTGGCCGTCGGACGAGATGACAATGTCCGAGACAAAGTGGTTGTGGCCGTGCAGGATGCGCTTGGGGTAGCCGTAGTTCGAGTCGTCGCGGCTGAGCTGCCAGACGATGATGGTGCGGTCACGCGACGAGGTGAGCAGCAGGTCCGGGTTCTCCTGCGAGGTGGCGATGGCGGTGATCCAGCCCTTGTGGCCGGCGAGGGAGCCCTTGTAGACGAGAGACTCAGACCTGTGGTGGGGCGGAATCGAAGGTGGATAAGAAGTTGTCAGCACGCTGCGTTGCTGCTGTGGAGAGTTGTTTGCTGTCGACGAATGGCATGCTGTAGAATGAGCTGTCGTGGAGATGGTTGAGGTATTGACACCTTGAGGAAGCTTCGTGAGCATGTACATCGCCCTGATTGAGATGGCGATAGCACAAGCTATCCCAAGCGTTCCATTAACATCCAAGCGCTTGTTGCGAGCCAGCTGCGATTATGCTTGTGCTACCCGCGGCCCTGCAACTTGACCGACTGACTGCGCGCATGATCTGATCCCGTCTGTCCCCCACGATCCTCCTCCGCCAACCTGAGTCGTTCTAGACGCTCAGCCTATGCTGCAAGAGTCGTCCGTGAGCTGCATTGGGCGATTGAGCCGTGACCGAGGAGGTACGAACCCGATGCTTCCCAACTGCCTGCTCCTGGTCGATGTGGCGGTCGAATTCGTACAGCATGCGCATTGTTGTCGTAGCATCGTGGCGGCAATTGCTATTGCAGCAATCATGGACTACTTACATATTGGCGATAATGTGTACGAGTTAGGTGATGATGGGAGCGTAAAGATGGTGACGACGAGTAGGCAGAACAATCCTCTCTCCAACTCTGGCGGTGCGTCGGCTGGCTGACTGACTGACTGGCTGGACTGGGTGTCGCTTCAGGCCACACACACACTTTTGGAAGCTGCACTCGACGCACGGCGTGGCTTGTTGGATTTCGCGGCTTGCAACCGGAGTCGAGAATGGCAGCTCCAACTTGCAGCAGCACATGGCTTTCCTGAGAGCGTGCTCCCAGAACGCAGGCTTGTCGTCGGTTACTTTGTGTTCTTCTCGAATTTGCAACAGCAGAGCCTGTCTGGGGCGAACTACGAGGGATGCCACGCACGTGACAGCTTGAATTCAATTTTGACCTCGGCCGATTTTTCTGTTTTCCAAAATTCAAGTCGTCCGCAAATTCAATCTTCGTCCTTCGACTCGAAGCGGGAGGCTGGGAGCGAGTGGCAGTCCAGCAGCCAGTGGAGCATCCCCACCGGCTCGATCCTCCCAAGTCTCGACATTCGCTCAGAGACTGCAGAGTGCATTGCGAGCGAGTCGGAAAGCGCTGTCAAGGCGCAACAAATTCGCAAAGAAACAACGCACAGCAGCCAAGTCTCGCAAGCTCGAATGTGTGTGTGTGTGCAGTTGAGGCGAGCGCGGAGGGTGCAATGTCGTTGCTCACGATTCCTTCTCTCCACCGTCCAGATCACCATCACATCTATACCTATTCACAATGGCGCCCAAGATCGACCCCAACGAGATCAAGGTGATTACCGCTCCCACACACGCACGCTCTCTCGCTCTCGCTCCCGACGTATC